CCTGCAGAAAGTCTCCAATGAGCTTAGCCTGGCACAGACACGTATGGCCCAGGACAGTGAACGGGTAAACACATGCACATATACTACTGCTACAGGTAGTGGTGCTTCTAGTACTACTGCTGAAAACAAACATCTCATTTCAGTGATAATGTTCCATATTTTCCTGATGCTCTGGTGTTTTTTGACATGGCAGAGGTGTTGATCTTATTTAACAAAACATTTCCCTGAAATATTAACGTGCTCTTTGAAAAAACTGGAAAAATGGTGGGCCTTTTTCCTGTTGTGCTGTAAAGCAGCCTAAAACCATCTGGTACGAATAAGTTGTGCGGTTGTGCTTCCCCGATTTAATTAATACCATCTCAGTGTGAGGTCATTCTAAATCACAGTTGAAAGACTGAAATAAACCAAGCAAGTCAACCAAAGAAAAAAAAATGTAACCGATGTGTTAAAAGATATAAATGCAATCCTGGAAGTGACTCATAATTATGTTTTACAAAATGTAAACACAAACATGTGGCCATTTAAACAGTTTAGTTACTGTGTGACTGCAGTATCTTTCACAAGCACGCACATTCAAAACCCACAAAGTTATCTTACTGCTACAGTGTTGTGATTTGGGAGGAGTTCTTTTGTAGGCTTTGTTTTCACAAGGAAAAACCTCAGTAATTTTTCCATTAACCAGTGCTAAATGATTAGAGCTGTTCTCACAAATAAAATAATAGCAGTAATAATGTTTATTTGTATAGCAAAACCAGCATTATGAAGTGTTTTATGCCCTCCATCTATTCATCCATCCAGCTTTTTTAGTGCTTCTCAATTTCAAGGTAGTGGGTGGCTTGAGCCTATCCTAGCTATCATTGGGCAAGACCCGTGTCTAACAGAGGGCCCAGAGAGAAAGAGAGACATAGAGCAATTTATGCTCATATTCACACATGGGGTGTATGTGTTAAAACTGTCTATAAGTTGGAACTTTGGTTTGCATCAGGACAAAATTCTTGGAGATTTAATCATCTCAAGTCATAAGCAAATTAAATGCAAAAGATTTGCTTTGGTGATAAGAAGTCAAACACATCAGTTTTCACTGACATTTAACAGTATGTACCTGATGTTAAGTAATATCAGATGTATCATATAGAGCAAAACTCAGGTAAAGAGCTGCATATGTTTTTCCATGACAGGCGTCAGGAGCTGAGCAAAGACTGAAGCAACTACAAGAGGAGCTTAAGTGTCAGAGGCAAAATGCAGAAAGCAGCAGACTGCAGCACCAACAGCGTTGCAAAGAGCTGGAGAAACAACATCAGAGGGTGAGATGAACATCAAAGCAAAGGAAAAGCATTTTTCATTTGATTTCCTTTTTCCCATAGATTGATGGATTCTATTGGGGGTTTTTTGTGTGTGTTTCTAGGATTTGACAGAACTTCAGAAGGAGAGGCAGTGTCTGGAGAAGCAGCATCAACAGGAAGTGAATAAGCTCAACCAGGAGCTTCAACAGGCTAGAACGCTCCACAATGCCCTGCAGGCACAGGCTGACAAGGTACATGCGCACACATGTACAAGTATACGCTCAAAATATTACACATTAACCAGACCAACAAGTCCTCTAACATGCATCCAAATGCATTTATCAAGATAAAGTTGCTATCAACACTGGAAACCAAGGACCAAAAAGATATGACATACTGTTTCAGTTTATGCTATTGTTTATAATTATACTATTATACATTCATTACCTTTCCTGTTTTTAGTATTTCCTTTCTCTGTCCTTCTCCCATCTTACCTTTTGCTTGTCCTGGGACTGTTTTTATTATATGGACCCAAGGTCAATGAATTTATCTCACTTTTTCTCCCACACTTTCTGCGTGCCTGTGATGTTTTCTCTCTCTCTCTCTCTCTTTTTCACTGTCTTCGACTCTGTGTTTCTGATTTCTCTCCCCTCCACCTGCTCTCCTCTCCGCTTCGTCCTCCTCTCCTCTCGGTTTCTCCCCCAGTGGAAAGGTTGAGCAGAGAAGGTAATGACAGTGTGACCGCTCAGTTTTTCTTTGTTTATGGAAGCTTGAACCACTCGGAAACTTGGAACTTGTGTGTGAGAAATGGAGTGCTCAGCAAAAGAAGGCGTGAAACAGTGGCTGTGGGATG